TCTATTTGAGAAGATATGCTGACGTGAAGGATTTTAGCACAAATGAAAGTATTTTGTTTTAAAACAATGTCTTTGCTGTTTTTTCCTAAGACCTCTTCTCTGTCTCCACATACAACCTTTGCACTGCAGATAAGGTACAGGAAGACCATAGAATATACTATAATTGCCCTGAGCTGGTCCAGCAATGCAGTCAGCTTGCAGAGCTCAGCCATGGGCCCCCGTTCAGCTGCTCTGCTGTACCCCCTGAAAAGTTTCCATGGGCAAGGATGTGGTTACCATTGGTGATGACAGTATCTCTTCTCTTTCCTGACAATCTGATGATTAACCAAGCCACCTTAAGCACCTCCTCCTCCACACTCCACGTGGACAGCTGACCTGGGAGGGATGGATGGATCTGGGGGTGTACAGCAGGCATTTAATGTGGAGATTCCACTCCATCTGAGCACCATTTGTACACAAACCTGAAAAAACCTCAGCTTAGGAAACTTAGCTTGGATATAATCTATAAAGTTACTGGAAGAAGATTTTGATTTGTATTCACTTTGAAGCTCAGAATGACATCCAGTCTTGACAGCCTGCTGTGAAAAACCCAGAGCTGTGTCCTACCCAACTGCTGTTTCATGCATAACACAGTGTGCTGCCTGATTTTAGAAATTACTCAACAGGAATGAATTTGGGAGTTTGAACAACATGGTAAAGGTCGGTAAGCAAACTCCCTTAAGAGGCATAGAAAAACATTTGACAAATTAAGTGTAAAAATAATTTGCCATGCTTCTCTGTCTGTCTGTCACACACATGTAAACAAATGCTTGTATAATCTTGGTGTTGTTACTATTGTTTGTTATCAGTAAACAAAATCACAGCAGTTCCCAATATTAAGTTAGGTAGTAGACACTTATATACAGTACTGGTTTAAAAAAGGAACTTTTGAAATGCCATATGTCATACAGCCATTAAACAGAGTGTAGTAAAAAATTGTTTGCATGAATTCAAGAAATTTTTTTACAAGTTTCTATCATTGCACAAATTGCAACAAGAAATAATGTATAAAACCCAGGACAAAATCTAGACAGAAAAATATGAATTATGAGATGGAAAACTTTTCTGCCTTCACTGAAAATTTTCAGTAAATTCAACTAAGATGAACTCCTTCACAAAAGAAAGGGTTAACAGCACTTCTTCCTTCACTACTAACATCCTTTGAGGAAGTAAACAAAGTCCATCAGATAACTGTCTTCAAACAAACGAACTGTTTTTTCTCATGTGAACAACAAACAATTTGTGTCACTCTTGTAGAAAAGAAGGAGTGCCAGTAGAAAGCTTCTTTCCAAAGTTTAACTTTAGGAAAACCAGATTCTATCCAACATGAAACAAAATGTCACTATTCACCACTTCCTAGTGACTGTAAATAAACAGAAATGCTGATCCTGTTACATTTTTAGGCCAGTGTACTTTTGCCTCTTTGCTGTTCTCAAGATGTCAGCTTCTCTGAGATTTCTTGTATGTGAGTTTTAGTGCCTTTCCCCATTTTTCATTTTCTAGGACTTTTATTTATTGTGTTAGTATATAAAACCTTGTCCTTTCTTTCTTTTTCCACTATCTCTTACTTTCCAATACTATTCCTTAGCTCCCTAAAACAAACACAATCTTTCTTATTTTTCCTACTGTCTTTGAAAAAGTCTGTCACATAACTTCTCTTAAGTTTTTCTGCATTTCCCATGCATGTCCATTCCTACTACTAGCATTTGCAAACAATGGCATTTTTGATGCCATGCACCATCAAAACAATATCCTAACAATGAAATATATAATCTCTGAAGCAGCAGGGGTTGGAAACCTTGGAAGGAGACCATCTATGGCTTAATCTCTGTCTGTCTCTGGTTAAATCATCCAAAAGAAGTATGTAGCAAAGATGTATTTGGTATCTAATGAATAGAAAACTGTTACCATTTCATCTACCACGATTTGCCTTGCTGCTTTTGCCTTAATGGTAGAGTACTGGTACTGCTGTTTTTAAGAGCAGTTCTGAACAGCATCATCACCAATGTCAGCTACAAATTCAGATTCTGATGATCTGATTCCTTTTCCTGGGAAGCATTACTTTTCAGACATGGAGAGGAGTGAAAATGTACATAAGCATGAGAGATGCTGACTCTAATGAGAATATTTTGCCTGTGGCTAATGAAAGATTTACCTGATGGCCAATATTTCAGATCCTTTCAGTGACAGATGCTCTTACATAATCATAATGTCACCAATGGAGCTCTGTCTCTGACATTTGTTCCAGTTTCTTTTCTTGCTCTGTATGCCCCATATGACCCATTCTTACTACACCAATAACCTCTTGCACTCTGTGTCATGCCTTATAAAAATAAAGGTCTTGTATTTTATATGCCTCTCTCCTCCTGCTTGCTCCATACAGCTTTTAAGATGTCCTTAAATTATCTTCAACTGACAATTCTCCCTTCCACATCACTTTCACCAATAATTTCTGTCCCAACCCACTCCTCAGACATTCCATGCTTCCTCTCACTTCATGCATCAAGTACTTCCTAATTCTCTCTCTGCTACCCATGTTATGAAAACCAGTGAAGCTCCACTGCCTAGAGACAGGACGAACACTGAAGAATCAGTCCACTGTTTGTAAAGTGCCATATAAAATCACCATGTAAATCACTTATTCAATAAAGAAAGCACATCCTGTTCCACCAAATAAGTCTCAGATCTTGATCTTCTAATGAATTCACTGGAAAGTCACTTAAGCCAGTGAGCAACACAGGGATCCTCCTGTGAATTACCAAAGGAATCCTCCAAAAAAGATTTAAAGATTGATAACTATGCAAATATATACCAAAACCTTCTGATTTTCTACTTGCTTTTTTCTTTATTAAAAGGAGGATGTACCCTATGAGGCTCACTGCTTTTAAATGAATGTGCTAGGAAAGGGAGCCACAATAAGCAACAGTATCCATTTCATTGAGAGGTGCTTTAAAATCTATCTCTCGGTTACATTAAAACCAGGATGTTTTCAAATTAGTCTCCACAGGATGATAAAACAGTGACTTATCAGCAGTTTACCACCCAGCACTTGGTAGTAGTCATTTGATCTCAATCTGAATGAAAGGTGGAGCTATCATCATATCATGGACACAGTTCAAACCCACACATTGTTCATTCATGTGTGATCAGATGGGAACTGGTTTCAGTGATCTCATACTGATTTGTGAAACCTCCTATTAGCATATATTGTCATCACTTCTTTTAAAAAAGGTTGGCAGTAAAGTTGGCTTTGGAGTTGGCTTTCAGGCACTCAAAACAAAAAAAAGGAGGGGGGGGGGGGGGAGAATCGAACAAAAACACAAAAAAAAAAAAAAAAAAAAAAAAAAAAAAGAAAAAGGAGAAAAGAAAAATCCCACACAACAACTTTGGAAGAAAATAAAAATTTTCTTGGAAGTTTCCTTGATGAAATAGTATGAGTGGGATAGAGCAATATCCTTGATTTTGGCAACGAACCTTTCTTCTGGAACTCCATTAAAAAGCCATTCCACTTTATGAGTTATCAGCAAAGAGTTGGTATTTTTGAGTGTGACTGATGGTCCTCCCTCTTCTGACAAATTTAGAAACATCAATAATTCTTAGATTAATTGCTTAGAAAATTTCCAAGAGGCAAACATTTCCTTATTTTTAGACCCTTGTTTTCTTCTGTAGTCAAAGCAGTAGAGGCCAAAGTTCGACTACATGTACTTCACTGAAATGATGGGATCTCTCTGCTCTCAGTTTTACATGTGCACAAAAACAAGAGTGCACCATTGCTGTGTGGGCAAGGGTGTCCCACGCTGAGCCCTCCATTCCCAGTCCCTGAATAAATCCTGGTTTATCTCACAAAGACCTAGCAGCAGTCCTCATGCCGCATATCCATAGATCCTTCCAAAGGAGGTGAGGACGTGGACTTGCTAGGATCCCTAGCAGGGACTTCTGGCATGAGAGATGCTGACTCTAATGAGAATATTTTGCCTGTGGCTAATGAAAGACTTACCAGTTACCTGATGGCCAATATTTCAGATCCTTTCAGTGACAGATGCTCTTACATAATCATAATGTCACCAATGGAGCTCTGTCTCTAACATTTGTTCCAGTTTCTTTTCTTGCTCTTTATGCCCCATATGACCCATTCTTACTACAGCAATAACCTCTTGCACTCTCTGGGTCCTGCCTTATAAAAATAAAGGTCTTTTATTTTAAATGTCTCTCTCCTCCTGCTTGTCAGGAGGACAAGACTTGCTCCATGATGCTGGCCAGCCATAACAGAGTGCTGTGTGTGGCCAGCAAGGGGTAACAAATCTGTATGGGCCAGGGGCTGAGGATGTGTGCTGGCAGTGACATGCTCTGATGGAGTCCTGGCACAGCAGTTGTGGCTACCTCAAGCACAAAGTGGAAAGCTGTAGTGAAATAATGCACATCTCACCACTTAGATTTTTTCTGTTCCTTACTCAAGGAAAGAAAAAAAAGGTCTTTCTAAACAAGTTCTGTGCACCCTTCTCCACTCACTGCTTAGTTATGCACCTGGGAATCCAATAATGGGGTTGTCTTCTGGCCAAAGATCTGCATTAGTGCTCCTGAGAGGCTGCATGTGCTGCTCCTGGGCAGAGTGCCAGGAGACAATCCTCACCTGCACAAGCTTGGGTGCTCTCACTAGCACAGAGCTTGGGTGTCCTCACCAACTTCTGCATGTGAAAAGGCTAAATACTGCATGAGATGGGTTAAATGCTGCTGCTGAGAAGCTGTGTTTGTGAAAGAGGGTTGTAACAAATCTTTTATTTGACCCCCTAATGAGGTCTCTAATAAATGGACTCTCTCAAGTGCCTTAGCAGGTCAAACAGAGCAGTAAGCCCTGAGATAAACATAGGAGAGAAACAGGTGGCCTGCAAATTTATCACTGTTAATGCACTATAAGCATGACAGAAAAGGGTAATTAGCACATTTGGAGCAGAGAGAGATACAGGTGGAGAAGGAGGTTGTCACTAACCCCTGTGGAACAGCCCCGCCTTCATTTTAAAGGAGGCAGATGGTGCATTAGATCTGTATCATATCTGGTGACAAATAGATCTGGAATCCACTGTTTTTGAAGACTGTGGGGGCTTTGGCAAGGCCTGATCCCACCTGACACTTCTTGGTTCTTGGGACAATTGAACTCAGATGATGAACTGGGAAAGAAGGGGGGCTACTTGAAACCAAGTGACAGACATCAGGAAAAAACTCATTTCCAGGTGTGACCTCATTCCAGCTCAGACAGAAATTCTGAAATGATCTCTTCACGTAGATGCCAGCCTGCAACACTCAATAGTGTATGCCAGAGGTGGGTTCTGCTCTTTCACAGCTTATAAACTCATGTAATAAAAATATATCACCTCACTTACAAGTCTCTTTTCTGCTAAACCATCCTGATGACAGCACGTGTTACACACTGAATGAGCATGAATGTCCATGCACCATGTGATCACTCCACTAATTCCTGACTGATGACAATGAAATACAGCATGAAGAAAAGGCAGAAGGCAACCCTGAATGGGAACACTCATCTTGCAGACAAGCAGATTTTGCCATCATCTTAGCAACTAGGAGGTGTAAGTCAGAGAATCACAGAATAAACTGAGTTGGAAGGGATTCACCAATGAAACTCCAGGTCCAGCTCAGCACCATCCCCGGGAGTCACACCATGTGCCCAAGAGCAGTGTCCAAATGCTTCTTTAGCTCTGTCAGCCTTGGTGCTGTGACCATGGCCCTGGGGAGCTGTTCCAGTGCCCAACCACCCTCTGGGTGAAAACCTTTTTCTAATAATCCAGCCTAAACCTCCCCTGATTAACTTCAGGCCATTCCCTCAGGGCCTGTCACAGGGACCACAGAACAGGGATCAGTGTCTGCCCCTCCTCTTCCCTTCATGAGGAAGTTGAAGTGTCTCCTCAGCGTCCTCTTCTCCAGGTTGAACACAACAAGTGATCTCATCTGCTCCTCATACAGTTTCCCCTCAAGGCCCTTCCCTGTCTCTGTTGCCATCATTTGGGTGTCCTCTAATGCCTTTACAACTTTCTTATTTTGTGGCACCCAAAACTGCCCCCAGCACTCGAGGTGAGGCTGCCCCAGCCCAGAGCAGATCAGGACAATCCCCTCCCTTGCCTGGCTGGTGATGCTGTGCCTGGTGCCCCCCAGGACACACTTGGCCCTCCTGGCTGCCAGGGCACTGCTGAACCATGTTCAACTTTATGTTGTTCATCTATGAAGACATGCAGGGGATTTATTTCCTTCTGCCCCAAGGCAGAACTCACCTGCCTAGTCCAAACATCTTCCAAAAACTTGGGGACAAACCTCTGCATGCCTTCTGCACCAGGCAGCATGGGGGGCATACACTGAACACAGAATGTGCTGTCCAGCTCCCCTTGCACAGTCACAAGCATGGACATCCCAGTTTTTTACACATTTCACCTAGAAGCTAGTTTTACTCTTTGTTAAAAAATTACCAGATCTTTTAAGCACAGCTTTGAAGTGGGCCCAAAGCAAACAAGAGTGCTCAGGGAAGATTAGACAGCTCAGGTTTATCATTAAAATATTCTTTCTTCAGAATATGTGTGAGATGTTCAAAGAAAGGAAAGGAGCCTCTGTATGTGAACTTTGAAAGCAGTCACAAACAAAAAAGCATTCTTCTGTTGATATTTTTTCCTGCAGGAGTCTATCTCAGCAGATTATCACTCCTGCATCTATGGAATGGCCATTTGAGACATCAACTTTTTCATCTGGGAACTCTGAATCTTTTATATATTCTGATCCCTTTCAGTTACAAAGCTAGCTGACAGCAGAAGCATATTTAACTAAAATTTGACCAAAAATGTCTAGAATAGCATATTCACAGAAGAAACTACAGGTCCTTGATGAGATGATCTAGAAACACAGAGACACCACTGAAAGGGGCATTGTAATGACTAAGGAACATGGATGTGTCTTCTTCATTCTGAGAAAGACACATAGGACTGTTCAAAATGGAAAACTCTCCAGATACTTTTTGAGATAGTGATAGCACTCGAGCAAATGGGCAAAATTACACTTTCAAGGACAGTAATGTATGTAAGCCCCTTGTACACTCAAGTTATCTGCAGGGAGAGTTGTGGTATGATGCTGAAAAGATTCCACTGATCTGCAGGACCATTTCTGCTTGAGGATAAAAGACTCTGGGGCGTGCAGTTGTTGAATTGTAAGTAAATTCCCCCTGGCTGAAGGCATCTTCCTTATTCACAAAGAGACCTGTTATAGGTGGATAATGAGATGATTGGCTCTTGCAATTACAAGATAACTATTGTGTGAATATTAATAAAAGCTTTAGTGATGTATAGCTATGTTATTTAGTTTAGATGTCCTCTGTTTTCCTTGTAGTTCCCTTTTCCTCCCCCTGTATTGTTGCCATCAGACAGCCTGGGCTGTCCAGGACAGGTACAAAAAAGGCTGCACATGTGTCCCTTGCATGGGGCAGGTGGGAATGGGAAAGCTTAGGGGGTGCAGCATGGCAACACCTGACCTCCAATCCAGTGACAAGAAAGCAGACTCCACTGATAAATGGCAAAGAAGAGCTGACTGACAGACTTTGGGAGGGGCCAGGGCTGGCTGATGCAACTCCAGGAGTATAAAAGACTGAGCATCCATTTTGAACACGAACTGGCCGCGTGGTATGCACGAGGCGCAGTTCCCAGCACTGCATACTGGGGGAAAAAAAGATTTTTTGTTGTATTCTTGTTAAGGTTTCATAAACCTTTTTAAATTTTCAAAGTGAGCAGTTGCCTCTCACAGACCCCACTCTTGGATTTCTGCAATCAATTTCCAAGGGGTGTCACAAAAATGAAGCATATTAGAAAGCATATTGGAAACTGCACTAATATATATATGTTCCTATTATAAGAAAGAGATGCATACTAGAAGAGTTGAGAGAGAAAGCACAGATCACCCATTTCAACTTTTCCAACTACTTGAATTTGAAAATTCACCTTTATCTTTTAATGTAATATATGCATATGTACATGTATGAACTATATATATGACACATGTGAATATGTACAGCATTAACTAGAGGGACACACTTGCAAGAGGAGAAGACAAGACACCCCCTGGTTAGGTTACCATGCAGGCTAGTACAACCCAGAGTGGGGAGCAGGGCGCAGAGGTGGATGCTACACTGAATTGTGAGTGCCCTGAAGACAGAGCCAAATGGGTCCTTCAGAGCTGGAGGACGGGACAAATCTGAGGTCAGCTGTCCCAGCTGCTCAGCACAGAAGCCCCTGCACCTCCACATGACCTTGGCACCACAGCTCTGCTGGGCTGCTGCAGTGGGGGATGTGATCACTCATGCAGGGAGCATGAAGCAGATGTTGTAAGCAAGGCACTTACTTCTCTTCCACACTGCAAACTAAAAACATGCCTTAAGTAAGGGATTGTCTAAAAATGTGCTGTCCTCTTTATGGATGCTCTCCTGTCTCCTTTCCTGCTCAAGGGTGATTATGCCTCTGTGTAGGCACAAGGCTGTTTCAGTCCTGCACTGGCTCAGCCACACTAGGTGGCTGGATTACTTAGGGTAAGTCTGCAGCATTACGTTACTATTCTAGAAGGAATGAGTTCCTAAAGCCCAAAGATCAGCCTTCTATTGCTGAACTCTCTGCAACCATGGAAATGACACTGACGAGTCTGAGAAACAAGTGAATGTGAAAAAGTGTCAGGAACTGAGAGGTTTGGGTAGTGCATGGTGTACTGTAGGCACACCATGAGAGGGGTCATATTTAATTACAGACTCTGCACAGGCAAGAGCAGCTTTTACAGCAACACAAGAGATTGCAACTTAGCAAAATAACTGCATAACCAAAAATAAAGGCAAAAACATGACAGCCAAGCTTCACATGGTCAGAGGAGAAGGGACTGTTGGGCAGTGGTTGAGAGGCATGTCCATTGTTGGCCAGCTCTCCCCTGCCGGCCCAGCAGCAGCTGTGTGTGGGCATTCTGGGAGCATCCCACAGCAGCAGGGATGCTGAGAAGCTGCTGGACACTGAATGCATTTCCTATCATGGGATTTTCTGCAGCCATTGACCCTGAACTAAACTCCCTCTTTTGGGCATCTCTGCTTCTATGTGGGATTCCAGTCCCATTCTGGGTCTCCCTCCATAGTGTGAGCTCTGCTTTTGAGGGGGAGATAGCACTGTCTTTTGCTCCAGTTTGCAAAATCTTTAAATCAGTGTTCAACAGCATAATTGTTGATGAAATTATGATCCTCTTAACACACTAATAGCTTCAAGTTACTAGCAGTACTAGTTAGAGCAAACTCCACCACCAAGAGGGGCTATGCAAAAACAGCTGAACAATGAGATCTCATAACGCATTAGGAAGCTGATACCTAGGAGCTCTGATTCAAGAAAACTTAGGAGGGTGTTTAACAGCATTGGTCTAGAACACCTATCTGTAGAAGGGAACAGGAGAGCAGCCTGAATATGGAGATATAAATTCACACCTTTTATTTCTTTAGTGCATTCATCTTCCCAACACTTCAGTACATCAAGGAAGTCAGTCTTTGGTGAAGAGTCCAGGCACAGAGCAACAAAACAGAGAGCCAAATAAGTTTAGACACTGAAGGTAAGAGTGGGATGAGAAGTAGGGTTGCTCTATCCAAACATGCTCAAGCCAAACACCCCAAAGTCCCTGCTCAGCAGCCCTGGAAGGGGGATGACATCAGAGGCTGCCTTTTTGTGACATTTCTCAGTATAAACCAAGTTACATACCAGTCTCAGTGTGATTCAGGACCTACCTCATGCTTCATCTTTCTTAAAATCAAGTTGTTCTTTTGGCCTGAGAAGAATCTAGTGGGGAGGGGTGTGCACAGGAAGATGACAAAGCTTTCATCACATACTGGAGTCACCAACATCACAGACAAAATGCTAAACTTAGGCAACCCTGAGTACAGGAAGCTTTAATGAACAAATCTTCTATTCTGTGACACAAGTGGTAATGTTGTCTAAGTCAAGAGGAACATACATGAACAATCCATGACACATCCAGGGGACCACGTTCCCTGCAGTCCTGTTGGCTGAGCAATCTCTTGAGCAATGATTGTCTCTATCCACAAACCAGGAATGCCACAATGTGGCGGAGAAGAACTCTTGTGTTTTGATAAATCCCAGAGGATTGCACACACAGTGGGGATAGTGACAGTCACAATACCTGGGCAGCGGGGACTGTGCAGGACTCTGCTGGTGATGTACAAATACATGGCTCTGGCTTAACATTGCTTCTTTGGGTAGAAACCAGAGTGTTCAAAGGACATTCTCAATCCTTTGGCATTGTCAGTGACCAGGACAACAACTGGTGTACACTCTACAGCATGGTTCTCACTTACCTCTGATTATTGCTAATAACAATCTAATACCCAGTCCTTAAGATGTCAGGAAGCTGCTTTCCTCACCTCTACTTAAAAGTTGTAGACAAAGTGCATATTGGCATATATTAATTAACTTCTGCTATTTTTCTCTAGGAAAATGATAAACAATAAAAAAGGACTTATTTTTTTACTGAGGACTTCTAAAATGTCAGCTATACCTAATGAATGGAATAAGAAGAATGTAATTAAACATCTGCTCTTTCACTCCTAGTAATGACTTCAAAACAGTCAGAAAATTCTGAAGGTTGTGGACATGGTAACAGACACCAGCTTAGGAAAAAGGAAATATCTGCAGTTATAATTGAACATTGAGATTGCTCATCTCCTTCTCTGAGCTGGAAGTTTACAATCAAAGCTTTGATGTGTGTGCTGGTTCCTCTAATACAATTTCATCCTATGCCATGTGGCACATTTGTTGTGAGAAAATATCAAGTATAAAAATATGTATATGTAGTTCCAATGCTCCATTCACTCTTGTTTGAAGGAAGAAAAACTGTTCTTTTTTTGGCAAGTGGCTGGAGCAACTGCTGGTAAATACTTTTGTGGAAAATGACAATGCAGCATGATGGAAATGGGCCAGACTTCCCTAACATGCAGCTGTCTCCCTCCCTCACATCAGCAAAGTAATCAGTGCTTACATCAGAGTGATGTCCAGCAGCATTTCTGGAACATCCTGCAGAACTGAGCCTAGAGACCTCCTTGGCCTGGCTGAGAGAGAACTAACAGAACTGATTAGATCCCTCAAAAACCTGACCTTGTCACACCCTACGACCTGCCCTACTCCCTCTGGCGCCTCCCCAAACTCTGTCCTGTCTGTGGCCACAGCCCATCCCACCCTGCACCCCACCAGGCACTGCAGCTCCTCAGACACAGGCAAGTGGAGGAGAACAAGGCCATTTACCAAAGAAAGTCCAATAAAATAAGAATGACAGCAGAGACAGAGAAGACAAGCTGAGACAGAGGTGGAGATGGGTAACATGGCTGTGCTGTGCACAGAGATGAAGAGCAGCTCCTGGAGCTCTGCACGATGACTGGAACTGCTTGCAGCAAGAGCCAGCAGTGGAGGAAAAGGTTTCCAGAGTGTTTTGCACACCTGTGTGACAACTGTTTCAAATGGGAACTTGTGAGCAATGTGCACATTCGCCAAAGAATCCAAGCAAAAAGAATTTGTCCATTTTAGTGTCTAATATCAACCTTGGTTCATAAAAAAACTGCAAACACTTCTCTTTGAAATGCAGATGGTAAAATATGATATGAAAATAAGCAGGCAAAGGAAGGCCTGGGGAGCTGGTGCTGCTGAGCCCTACTGAAACCACCAACTCGTATTTTCTGAAGGCTTCCTGTAAACCTTGTCTGAGGTTCACATCTAGAACTGGGGTGAACCTCAGCTGCTGGCTGGAGGCCAGCTGTGAGGCTGGTGCAAGTAAATAGGTTGTCGCAGTCTTCTGTGCCGGCAATAACTATGGGCAGGGTATGAGAATCTGAAAATGTTACATTTTTTTGGTGTGACTTTCCTTTTGAACTGCACTTTAAGAACCCAAACAGCACAAAAAGTACTAATTTATTTGGATTTTGTTAATATAGAAGCCAAGAATATTTTTTCCAGGAGTTTCCAAGTGAACACTGTCTCCTTATTGCAGATGATTTTAGCACA